AGAGAGAGAGAGAGAAGAAGAGGAGAGAATGCAAAGAAATCGCTTTATCGCGTCATTGAACGGCTTCTCGCGATTCTCTGGGGTCGAGACGTGTGAAAAAATTGTAATTTCGCACGGACATCGGATTACGGTCGACGCCTCGTAACATTAAGAAAGAAATAATGATTAATCTGGAAAACGACAATTAATCTTTATATCAAGATGGGCGATAACTTGTGCCGTTAATTAATTAATAGTTGTGCGTTTAATGGATAATACGCTGATGACATTATTCAGATAAGATGTAGTTCGCAGATAACTTTTTGCGGGATCATACGCCCACGTCGTGGAGGGATACGATAGATTAGGAATCTAAAAGGATCCAGTCGCACACAATGTGCCGGTGTTAATCCGCTTTGATTCGCTCAGGTATAAATCGGACCGATTCCCTAAATGAGGGATTCTCTGCTGCACTGTCGGCTCAGTCTCTTCTGAAACGTGACATCACTCGATATATTTCTTTTCGGTCTCTTAATAGCATTGGATAATTTACTCGAAAAAGGCGACGAGTGGACTGAAAGAAAAACGAATGGGTAGATGACGCGGCGAGGGCGCGCGAGAAACAAGGACGGACCACGTTGAGAGACGACGACAGCAGACGTTGAGTTTGGTCATACTTCGCCGGAAGAAATTTTTATGGGATCCCGTCTACGACCTCCAGGCTCTCGGCGGGAACGTGTGGAATTTTTCAGATTCAACCACGCTTAACTCGTAAAAGCGTGCGCCGTAATTAAAATCCACCAGAAGATGATCACCAGCGTCTTCACGCTGCGCGTCCCCGACGCAGTTTTCATTATTGCGGCCGAGAAGCATCAGGGGACAAGTCGTTGCAGTCACGTCATTGCGAAACTGATTGCCGATGTAGATATTATTGATATTTGCACATATTTAATTGCAAAATCATGTTGACGACAAATCTTCGATATCTTCGCGATGAAATCAGTCACGTTTTATCTTCAGAAAATTTGCGAAGAATTGCCGTAAAACATATGAATTAAAAATACGCATCACAGTTTTCTTGAAAGATAATTGATAATTGATTAAGAGAAGATTGTTTATGAATCGGCAAAAATCAGCAATTTATGATTACGGAAATATTTACCGTGCGTCAGGCATATTTTACAAACGCGTTGTTATTGCATCACAACAAAGTTTCTATCACAAGGATAACTTTTTTATTCCGGGATTATTCCGAAATAATTACGATTGACCGTGCGACAAGACTACAACGCTCGAGAAGAGAACGGAAAATATATCGGGACGAAAGAAGCGACGGAAACGATGTAGGAAGATACCAATCGACGGAAGATACACTAAAGAGAAAAGAGACCCGCTAACACGATCGAAAGGACGAGAAGAGAGAGGAAGAGGAATAAAGGTAGGAAAAAAGAGTCGAAGAAGGATGGACTACCGAGGAGCTTCGAAGGATGGAACCTATAGAAGCAAAAACAGAAACCAGTCTCACTGGCTCAAGGTTGCCTGGCCGAGAGGAGAGAGAGAGAGAGAGAGAGAGAGTCAGGCAGGTACGCGTACGTACGTACGTTACGTTCGCGTCGTACGTACGTTACGTTCGTTACGTCGTACGTACGTACGTACGTACGTACGTCGTCGTCGTCGTACGTCGTCTCTCTCTCTCTCTCTCTCTCTTCTTCTCTTCTTCTCTCTCTCTCTCTCTCTCTCTCTCTCTCTCTCTCTCTCTCTCTCTTCTTCTCTCTCTCTCTTCTTCTTCTCTTCTTCTCTTCTTCTTCTTCTTCTTCTTCTTCTTTCTTTTCTTTCTTTCTTATCTCTCTCTCTCTCTCTCTCTCTCTCTCTCTCTCTCTTTCTTTCTCCTCTTTTCCTTTACGTTTCTTCTCGTCTTCTTCTTCCTTCTGTTGCTCCTCCTCTCCTCGCGGATTTGTTCATCTCCTCCAGGAGGGGGAGGGGCCCGCCGGGCGCACGCTCTTGCCGCTGCTACCTTTATCCTTGGCCCATGCACCAAACCGATATGCGGTGGAGAGTCGTTTCACGCAAATTCGTCGGAGAACGCCTTCTTCGTCATGCGGTGCGCCGGTGCCGAACTCGTTTCCCCGTCAAAACCGTGACGCGTCGTTCGATCGAAAGGAACACGTCCGCGGGTAACGTCCCTTCTTTGACTTCCCTCGACTTGGCGAAAGAACGGGGAGAAGAGAGACCCGTTCGATTCTTTCCGCGTAATTATACGCGCTCCTATCCCTGACGCGGCGAACCGAGGGTCACGGCGACGGCTCCGCTCCGCCGAGGTGGTCCGACGTTGGTTCTCGTTTTGTCGATAGTTTGTCGAGGATCCGTTCGGGGATTAATTAAGAACGAGATAAAGACGAGAGCAATCTCGTCTACTATGCATCGTATCTCTATGCATCCTATCGGAAGCAGAGATTAATCTTGAAGGGAAATTTTTACTTGCGAATTTTATTATTATTTTCACTTTTATCTACATTTTATAAATAAAAAAAAAATGATATAAAATAAATGATATATCGTATACATGTATTTTCGGTTTCATAGACTGTAATCTTCATTTAAATTACGTAGAGAGAAACTCTGACTCTTGAGAAACAGTTAATTGTAAAAATAAATTAAAAATAATTTGGATTTAACAGAAATAATGCGCAAAGATTTATTATTAGTTTTTTTGTAACATAAATAACATATGCAAGATATACGAACCATAAATATTCAAATGACAAACATCGATAGCTTGCTTCCAGCAAGTGGCGATGACACGAAGGATCTCTGGCGTGTCGATTTCAAGCGCGTGAGAGAACAGTACTAACACACGTTATCAGATTTGCTGGTGGCTTATCGGGATATGACGCGCGTAGAGCGTAGGTAGTATGCAATAACAGATCGCGATAGTTTCGACGTGATCGCGATAGGGCTGAGCATAAGTAACTGCGGGAGCGAGCGTGGAAATACGCGAAGAGAATATTGGCCAGTCACCACTTATACAAGGTGATCGTCTTTCACAAAGAAGAGAGTTGTTGCACGCGTGTAGAGATATGAATAGATGATACTTTGTATCTGAATATTAATAAGGAGTAATATTAAATAAGAAAAAAATATCGTCGTTTCTTAAAATGATAATCAGATACTGTGACAGACTTTTGTGAATTACGTAGCTCGATAATCTATTCCAGTCCATTCTAAATTTATTTATTTGTCCTACTTTTTACAAATTTATTATTTCACACACTTTCTACGTTAATGACAGACTGAATGAAGAGTCAAATGAGATGCGATAATTTTTTTGGCCACGAAAAACGTTTCAGTAATTTAAATAATTCACGGCTCACGAGCCAGCGCGCGAAAAGGTCGTTAACACTTTCCGACAGAAGCGCTAACTCCGTCGTACTTGTACCGATCACCCAGTATAACAACTTCGGTATAGAAACACGTAGCGCAAAGGGGCACCATAGTGGCGATCGAAGCCAGGCAGTCGGCCGACCGTCCAGTCGCCAGTCGCGTTGTAATCGCAGAATAATTGAATCTGCGCGTTCACTACGCACACACACGCTACGTGCGCTCATTTCATCATTCTCTCTTTCTCTTTTACCGTCTCCTTTCCCCCCCCCCCTCTCTCTCTCTCTCTCTGTCTTCCTCTGTATCTCCCTCTTCTTTGTACTTTCCTTCTCTCACCCGCTCGCCACCTCATCCCTTTTCATCCATCCTTTCATCTCTTTCTTTCTTCACGTCCCGTCTCTTTATTTATAAGCGCCTTCAGCTACCGGCATAAATGCAGTCGAGGACTGCATTCATAAACCCGCTCTCGGGCCATCGCCAGGTTTCCTAGCTGCCGTCGTTGCCGTCGTTGTCGTTACCGCCGATGTTGGTAATCTGGGTGCCGATGCTGGCAGCCAGCACCAGCGCCGGCACCGCCGGTGCAACACCGACCCCGTTTACATTGACTACGTCGGCGCGGAGAGCCCTCGGGGCAGCGCTACCTCACTTACTCGAACTGAAACGATCGTCTTTTTGTCCACCCTCTCCTCGCTGCTCCTAGTTCTTCGTTCCATTCCTCTCGGCGAAATACTCGGAAGATTAATGGAGAACCCGATGATCGCCGATATACGTGTCCTGATGACATTTCCGGACGCTCATGGATATTGTTACTATCGTATTATTCGTTAATCGGACATAACGTTTTCTTATTACATATTATGATATTTTAATATTGAATTTGTTGTTATCGCTAATTAATAGATTGACCAAGCTTTTAATATCTTTCTCAAAGGCACGATGGTACCAGCGACTTGTTAGATTTTGTCTCCATTTCTCAGGAATGTATGGGGAATGCGAACACTCATGCACGTATGACAATTTTTGCATAGGAATAGATCACACCTTGAACTACTTCATACAAATATAGTTCATAAAGTAAAAATGTTTATGTCGAATAATAATTTGTTCCGCGCATTCAATCTAATTTTTATTAAAGCGAATAACTAGTTACCTTAGTATCTTTTTTAAAAATTGTAAAAAATTTTTAGACGCTCTATGTTTTTTAAGAACATTTCAGATGTTTGCCTTAATCGTTTGTTCAACATGACTTTTTGTAGTAATTAATAAGTGGGTATCAATGCATAGAGGCGTTTCACAGGGTCCCGCTAAAACCGATGTCCTCGATTACATCATTTATGGCCGCGCCGTTACGTTTTATGATAGTTTGACAGCGAGATTAGCCGTTCTCACAATGAGTCGCCCATGCGAGACGAAAGCTACGGTTACAACCAATTGTAATTAGACGAACTATATTAATCGGACTCCGTCAACGCAATGATGATTGCAAAATCTAGAGGAATACACTAACGCGTTATTTTTGTAGCGAAACGCACTAAACGGAACGATGATGTAGCTGGTTCGCGCATAAAAAGATAGCGATTTAATGTTGGAGAAGTTAAAGTAACGTAAGGAGGATAGAATCTCGGATTATCCTTGAGTGCAGAAGGCTATTCCCTGGCCTTGGATGTCTGTGCGTTAGAGACGTGTCGGAGTGTGGAAACACCTCGCTCGTTATTTTCCCGGCTGAGAGATACGAGCAGAGCGTTGTGTAATGAAACGCGGTTACTCGCTTAAAATCTGTTAAGCCGCGCATGTATTCTCGCCTCTGACTTTATTGACTCTGCTGGTCGGTGAAATAATCGTCCGCGTGCGCGAGGCGTATCGACAGCTCCATTAGAAACGGTCGCGATGTAAATTTATGTGAGTGGCCAACAGTGGACTCGAAAAATGCCCGTAAGGCTAATGTACTTGCTTCAGCGAGACATTTCGGTTGTCCTTCTCCACTGATGAGAATCGCATCTGTACAAATTACTAAAATTCAAATTTTAGATTCTCAATCGTCAATCCTCCGATACAGAATAATTTATCTTGTTAGAAAAATTACTTGTTGATTAAGCATTGCATGAAAAATAGAAAATATTTTGTGCTTAATATATTCCTAGTTGCATTCCTCCGAAAGTATGAGCTTTAGATTCGATAAAATTACGTTTGATTTTAGTTTATCAGTTTTATCCCGAGAGTAAGTAGATTTTTGGGTGAAGAGAAAAGTCGACGGAAGCGAAATACCAAGAGTGGCTCTGAGTCACTCGACGATGCGGACGTCATTGATTTCCCGCGCGAGCAAATCCTGGGAGATTACGCGTATCCTTGGACCGCGTAAGAAACAGGATCCTGGCACACGCGGATGTGCAACATTCTGCACACCTTATCTCACGCGTATCGATTAAGATCTGCAGATTCCTGACACAGAATAATCCACGCACCGACACGACGATACGTGGTGGTGCTCCCGCTCGTCCTTTTTCCTCGCGCGCATCATTAAGCCGGATATCATGCTCAATAGTGGAGTCACCATCGGAGTCACAATCTACTAATCTACCGGCCCGCTACCCGGTTACTCTGCATAATCACGAATAAATAATAATGTCGCATTACGCACTGTACATAAATTGGCGTACGGGCGAGAAAACGCGGCCGGCTGTATCGAAACGGCGCGCATCTGGAATGTCGTTACCATTTTTTACCGCGTCTAATTAGATGGCTCACTTTTTGTCCTTCCACATCGCCTCGCGCATACCAGAACACAACGGCAGTGAGCCGCACGTAAGTGGTCGAGAAATTAAGTCGGGGCGATAAAAGCAAACGAGGAGGGAAACTGAGGCGACGCCTTCGCGATATTATTAACATAAAACCATAATTCCCGCGACACTTCGTTAGTGACAATTAATGAATTATCCCGAAATATGAATAAGGCGCCAAGTTACACCATAATAATATCGCATCTGAGATGTCAGCCGTCAGCTGCA